GCTATCGACACGATCGCATCCATGACGAGAATGCTGTACGAGTGTCGGCAACCTCATCATAGAACGAGGTGTCATTTCGAGTTCTCGTCTTCGTCATCCGTCCGGGAACCGGTTCCGACCGGCTGTCCGCTTAAAGTTCATTGATTCCCGATGATCTCGCGACGCGGCTTCCTGTCCATCGCGGCTGTGAGAGAAAGACGAGCCTACCGCGCCTTTGTTTTGGCCTTTTATCACCTTTTAACACCGCGACCACACTGGCTAACAGTACCCTCCGACGCGTAAAAGAGCAAGCACATTCGCCATTCACGCTCAATCAAATCTTTGCGCTAATTGGAGTCGATCGTTAGAGGAGCCTCTACGCGGAAAGTTATATCTGCGCGATTGGGAACGGAGAACACTCATCGCTGGACATTCACCACGCCTGAACCCGTCACTACGGCCTGGAAACCAGTCGACCTGACACGTTTTGCATCGACCACAAGACAAAAACCAGATCGCGGACTGTCGTCAGTTGAATCTAGAGTAGGATACGCATAATGATTCAGTCAGCAGACCTATTAAATATATGTATGTAGCATGTCCACATATGCGTGTACATTTGCATTTAAAAATTTAAATACATAATTTTTTAAAGTAAAGAACTGTTTCAAAATTGTCGTTGTTATGAGTTTAAGCATACGTATTTCTAGCACACTAAAATTTATTTCTTTACTGCTAATATAACTTGAAATTTATCTTAGTCTTTTCTACATTTTACACAAGAAAGAATTTAAATGTGGACTTCTCTAACATTGTAAAATTTATTTATGAACATTGTTATATTCACACATCTCTCTTTTTAATTTTTCTTTCTTTGTTAAAAGTTTAAGATTCAAATTATAGATTTACGATCTTTCACGTTTACATAAAACACTTTCCGAAACGGTGCATTAATTAGTTCAGCGGTCCATTAAGTGCTGCAAATGAAAGAAACTTCTACCGAATACATACTAGCTAATAACCCGTATCAGGTACCAGCTGGTACACTTAGCTAGATGATCATAATCCGCCGCGACGACCGGCAGTTCGGAAATTCTGTGTCAAGGTACCTATCGTATAAAAAGAGATCGACAACACAACATCGACAGGAATCTAGACTGATAATGTCTCAACCGACTGGGACATTCACGTCCAATCATATACTGCCAGGAAACGAACTCCTCGAGAATTATACGCGTAACAATGGGTCGAAAAATAACGCGGGGCAGATAAACATTAATAAATAAACAGCGTTTCTCTGCGCCTTTATGCCGTATTCACGTCAGCTTGCAAAGAAAATAACGAGACCGTCGAACCAAGTACGTCCAATATTTCACGCTTGACACTGCGCGGCGAGTTTCAAAATCGGAGAGGTGTTCCCGTCTGTAAACGAGAAACATTTGAAGTCGAAACGAAGTAGATATACACATTCAGTCGCAATTACATATGTGGGTCACATTTATAGAAAAATAGACCATCCAAAATGAGCAAACAAGATATAAACTTTTGTGATAGCCCTTAAATATTTTGCCATACACGAGAAAAATATCCTCACGATATTTTCTAAGGGAACACAAAGCTAGTGGAAAATAATAGAACAATGAATGTCTACTTGTAATAGTATTATCATAATCATATTGGTAATAAGATGGGAATCAAATGTAAAATCTGATTCTTATAATTAATGCATTTCATTATATTGTCTATCACGTTCGCCATTTATGCATGTATGTAGAGCAAAATCAATTAAATTAGCATAAATGAAATAATATTAATGTCACAATGGATTTACATTTTCATTTTTTATTGCAATTGCTACATATAATATGTATATTATATGTACTTGTGTAATTTGTAGATATATTATCCGCAAATAAATTTCTGATATTATAATAATATTAATTATTATAATATTTCAATATTTTTTCATCTAATGCACAACAAAAAATTTACTGTAATGTGGATAAATTATGTGATTGTTTCTTGTACATTTATCATTTATTTTGAAATACAGCGATAGCTACTAGCTACTATTACCAGCTCTTCAGCAATTCAAATGACTTGATAATAAAATTCTCATCGAAAATTTAATGCTATCATTATTTCTCGGTTGTGTACGTTTCGTGCGAAAAGCACGCATGCACGCACGCGGAAACGGCGTGATCTTAAGGGGGATTTGCTTGTGTGCCGTTCGACCACGTGGTAAAATTCGGCAAAGTGACCATGCGTCGCGACGCGCCCATAAATGGCGCGGGCGGTGGTCCACGGCCGTACAACCAACCCCACCACGGTGTGTGATGGTCGAGACCAACGGGGCTTCTCCAAAAATAGGATGACGACGACGAGAGACGTCCCGACGTCGTCGTCGTCGTCGACGGAAGGCGAGCTCTCGACGTCGCGACATTCGTCCGTGATGCAGGACGCATTTCGACGCGTCGCATCTCGCGCATCAGTAATCGACTTGAATGCAACAATTGTGCAGTGATACTATCGTTTTCATTGCAAGAATTGACCTGACTAATACCTTTATTTAAACTCGCGAAGTGCTAAAAGAAGAGTGTTTGTTTTCACACTTTCTGCTCGAAATTAGCTAATAATATAATTAAAACGTAATACAATTAATACGATTAAATATATTATAGATATTATTTTAGTATTAATTATTAAATTTTGAAGTGTTATAACTCATAATTAATTGTTATATTGAAGGAATACTTTTACTTTAACAAAATATGTGTAACCTTTTTTTAAAGATAAAGATAATTAAAAACAAGAGAACCAATTTTTATATTTACATTAATAATAAAGTATATTCTTTTCAGCATCGATAATACCGCGCTCTTCTTTCTATACCTCTTCTGTTTCGAGGATCCGTTTGAGTCCGTTGCCGTTGCTGCTGCGCGAGTATCGTAGCCCATAGCTTCAAATACGTATATGTAAATCAATTAACGAACTAATCTATTAGTACACCCACGAAAACTCACACTGCGGTAGACATCAAAGGTGTTTGCGCCTACGCGCGCCAAACCGATCGCACTTTTGCAAAAATCGCCGCGGGCTACTAACGCTAATGCACGTGGCGGGATTGGAGGCAAGACTATTTATAATCCAGACACACCGTCCAAGCATACACGGCAGTGCCAGAAATAACAAATCCAAAGTCGTAGGTCACGCGAATAAGACGAATAAGGAGATGACGCCTACTCCGATCATCGTTGGCCCATGTATTTGATTCTGATATGCATATATTAACTAATTATAAAAAGTAAAACGACAATGCATTAGAAATAATTATCTATTTCAAAATATTCGATAACTGATGGTAATCTTCAAAACTTAAGTAACTCTTGAAAAATTGAATGTAATTTTTAATTAAACTAATTTCACGGAACAATTTCCCGTTCCATTGATTGATCAAACAACGTTGCAAGGAGAGAGCGCAAGCATACAATTGATTTGTGTGGGAGGAGAGACGGCAGTTTTCGCTCGCGCTGAAAAAATATAGCACCGGAAGAGGTTGGGCGGCCCAAGAAAGTTCCTGCTGCCTGCCCGGTCGCGCACAGGGCAATTGTGATGTCGACCAATTAAGCCACGGCCCACGCCTGATTTTTTCTTTTCGCGCGCTGGTCCAGCCTCTTCCGCATCGATAACATCTTCGTCATCCCACCCCCGAATCATTCGAGATTTCGCCGCACTGAATTGCCTGTATTTGACATTTTATCGCGCGTGTAAACGTATATATACGTTACGAAAGTGCCAGTACGAGCAACACAAATTTCAGATAGCTCGACGATTTAACGCGACATTGACTGAAATTTTACTGTACCCAGAATCCATTCCAACGCAGTGCCTCGTGTCGCATGAGTCACGCTTGTCAAATCATGAGATAAAAAAACACGCGCGCGCGTGCATCGGACCAGATGCATTTGAAAGATCAATCATAGTCTGTACGTCACCACAGACAATTTATTCTCGTGAAACGTTTGCTTTATATGAAACCTTGCTCAACTAAATTTTTTTTCTGAGAACACGGACATACGTAGAGTGCTCAAGAAAGATTGTTGTCTTCTTAACGGTGAGTCCATCGACTAATTTTGGGGTCCATCAAGTTTTCTTTGTTTAACTATTCCACCTATTTAGGCCGCGTTCCAAGTTCCAATATTCACTGCCAGTATTGAAAATCTTATAGTTTACATCACATACACTATAGATTTTCAGTATTGGCAGTGAATACCGAACGCAGCTATTGTTTAACGATAAATATTTCAATCGCGTGAGGCTAATTCCATGAAGAGTCTCGCTGCTCCACGTGTGTCTGGAGTCTCCTTGCCTTCGTTCGACGCATCTTCCGCAAACGACAGTCGCGTCTCGGGTCATCCATCATATAATTATACCGGCATTATCTATTAGCTACGGTTGTTAAGCCTATGACAATGACCCTTCTTTTCCAATCGCATAGCTTGTCTAGCGTGGCCGACGAGATATCGACGGAAAACCGACGAAATACCGCAAGAACTGATTGTGTATCGCGATTTCCTGTGCGGTTTCGTGCTATTTAAATCCTCACACAAAAATGTTAACAATAATTTAGAAGAAGGAGCAGTAACACCGTACGTTTTCTTATATCTAATAATTGCCTGAGTATGTATTTCACATTTAACTCTTTCATTGATTATTCTCTCTTCTGAAAATACTTACAGAGAAATAATAACTTAACTTGTGAAGCAATGCGAGTTATTTTATTAGGACGGACAAAAAAATAAATTAAAACTTCTGATAATATATGTGCTCTAGAAAATTACCGTTGTTCCTTACGTCAATAACTTCGCGCAAATGCCGACTTAACATTAAAAACGCACTCTGACACGTATTAAACAGCCGTTACGCAAAGCATAAAAAACGTTTGAGAGCCGCTATTTTTTTTTGCTCCATTCTTACGTCGCTGCGAAACCAGTTTCGTTTATCAGAGATTACAGACTTACCACATGGCTTGAACGGACACTGGCTTGAAGATGTGTTGACGGCCGCAAACGCTGACCTTGAAACCCCTGAAAGATAAAAAAAATCCGGAAGTGAGATCGCGATGACCTTTAGGAACCATGATGAATCGGATAACGTTATCCTTAGTACTTTTTTTTACTAAAAAATTATCTTATCCGTGATAAAAGGTAATACTCTGTTTTAAGACGCTTTTACCGCGTGAATCATCTTATGATCTTGATTATCTTTGTGAATAATAGAATGTAAAGTATCGCAGAAAAATAGAATCATATAATAGCTTTAATATTTATGCCTTCGGGCAACAATAATGACAATTCAAAGAATTTTAAAGCATGAGACATAGTTATACGCATATCTTTAGTAAAATATTAAATTTTAAATTTATTGTGGCACAATTATTACAAAGACATTCTTTCATTCCTATCCTGGAAAAGGTAAAGTATTGAAACTTCTAAACATACACATTTGAAACTTAATTTCTCAATCCGCTCTTTCATCTCTGACAATTTCTAGAATATATATTAACTATCTCAAATAAAGTTTTGATACGTATAAATGCATTCTCTTTTCCTTGTGCGAAAGATATGGAGAACGTTTTCATCAAAGTAAACGGTTCAGAATATTAATCTATTTTTTATTTTATTTTTTTCAAAATTATACGTATTGCACATATTATGTAGATTGGCTAAAATCGTAAAAACATATAAGTTATAAAATAATATCTTATTCCAGTTTCACAAAAAATTTCATAGTTATTTCTTTAACACTTTCGATTATTATCTTTGCAACAAACGGTTATCTTTGTAATTATTTTTACTATTTAAATGCTAAATTGTCAGTAATAAAGAATGATTCGGGTATCATACGCACTTTCATTGGAGTGTTTCGACAAATACTTCAATATACAAAACCGAGATTTTCAAAGTTACTTCTTTATTAACTCCAATTTTACTTTTATCACTCTTCATCGGAGAATTAATATTCTGCCTTGTGATATCAAAAAATAGTTTGATTCGATGCTGCATGATTATAGACTATAGACCTAATGGGATAAATGATAAAACTCGCGATTTTGTTATTTGAACCGGGCGCTCGTCATTATATGCTGGCGAGCGAAACGACGGACGGTGCTTCAAAACTGCAACGGTAATACAATTCTCGCGATTACGACACGAGAAGGGGCGCGCGTTCACCGCACTTCCATTAATTACGCATTATGTAAAGGAAATCGCGCCGCGCGAGTATCGCGAATCGCGAATCATTGCCGTAATACGTGTCAGTTAAATTTCCGGGAAATCGTTGTCGATTCCGCGATCGTCTTTTCCAGAAAAAAAACGGTACTCACGTCAAACTTCGTTACACATACGTGGCACGGCCGTGCTATTCGAGGCATATCGCTTTCCCCTCATCCGCAAATATTAGAAGCGAAATCAGATTTAATTAACGCACTATGATTCATACACATCGTCAACATATCAATAATTTTTTATTCGCAGACGGTAAAAAATTAATGGGCTTTCAAACAAAGCAAGAAGCTTATTTTACACCTATTTTCGAGTGCACGAGAACTACAACAATGTAATTAAAGTAATAAAAATTAATTCGCAAAAATTCCACTTTTTTTGTAGCGACATATTATATGAATCTTCCAACCTAACAAATCGGTTAATATTATTTTCTCATAGCAGATAAATATCATTCTTAAAATTTATGACAGCTACGACGAAGACAATTACGCGTAAACATATATAGCCGCGCAATAAGACGTGATATCAAAATTCGCGCCTTACGCAACCGAGATACTCGTGACAGGACAGGTTGCAGTTACGTGGACGAACAAATAAAGGAAAAAACATTGTCGAGCATCGCCGCGAGCGATTCACCAAACGCAATCGCGAATCGGTTACGCAAAGGTGCCTCGCGGCTCGGAATTTAAGCGTGTTGCATGTAATAACATCAAGAATTCGCGCGCAGAGATCTCTTACCCTCGAAGAAATATAAAAACGGACGGAAAAAATGCAATTTCCTTCTTCCTCCGCCTCCCTCCGGCCGCGAAATTACCCGGCTCTCGCACCGTTATCGTCCGGATCGTAAAGCGGGCGCCCTCCTTCCTCTGCTTTCGGATCGTAATTCGCCTCTCTCGCCGATTACAGTTACCCTCTATGCACATTCCACGAACGAATTTTATAGCTGGCCCTTCTCGCTTCTTCGAGATACGCGCATCGGCGTACGAGAAATTTGCGAACCGCGCGCAATGCAGTTGAACGGAGAAGAACTTCCTCGAGTTTGTTATATTATCGGCTCTCAATACACACGCAGCGTCATATTCTTCCTTTCGTAATGTTTTAGTAATAACGCCGCAACTCTCGGAATTTTCAAATTATAAACTTATAGGAAAAGATTTACTCGAATACCGCGTGAAGTATCAAAACTTAGAAGTAAAAATAAAGCCTTGGGAAATATTGAAACTACACTGTTAAATTCATAGTATCAAATTATATTCAATTTGAGACATTTTTAAACCACTGCTATGTTGTTAATTTAATTAAAACAATGTTAATTTAGCTAAATCAATGGAGTTGAAATAATATTGTTTTGTGCTAGAACAATCAATTTTGGCACACATGGTAGTTAAAAATAACAAAATGTTATTTAACTCAAAGTATTAATGGTTTAACTTATTCCTTTAATATTTAACAGTGTATATGAATAATAAAGCTATTCATGCATTTTATGTTAGGAAATAAAAGCGAAGAAGAAACAGTCAGCTCTTTTATATTATATACGCAAGCAAATTTTTAGAAGAAGATTTAATTTGTTTGATGCACAATCGCGGTGACCTAAGCTACTACTCTGGCTTTACATGCCACGTAAAAGCTTGCAAATATCTGCGTAACAGAGAATGAACTCAATCTTTCGCAACGTTCGTTAGTTCCTTTAATTTGCTATCCGGCGCGTGTAATCAGTCGGTCGCACTTTACATGTGTATCAATAAGACACGTCGATATCATAAGGCCGATGAAGCGTAACCGTTACGGCATTGAACGTGTCAAATAAATTCTCTTGTTGCATTACGTGTTAAGTAATATAGTTAAGACTATAATCTATCCGGAAAGAGACAGTGAGAGAGGTCGCCAACTCGAGGCTAAGTAAGCCAGACTGTTGCTGCAACCGGCTGCAATAATGTTTCAAATCGACTGATCGAGAAAGCGAATGACGTGTTGCGACTCTAACGCGCGGAGGGACTCTGACTCTCTCGCGAGTTCGCGACAGCCGCATCGAAACGAGAAAGAGAGAGAGAGAGAGAGTGAGAGAGAAAAGAAGGAGGAGAAGAGGAAGATGAAGAAGAGAGACGACCGTCCGCGCCCCGAGGGTCATCGACATCGTAGGAACGCGAGCTGACCGGCGTTCGCGCTCATTTTCTTTTCCCGGTCCTTTTCTTTCTCCTTTTCCCTTCGCCACGCATCGAGTTGTCCATCCGTCCCACCGTCCCTTTATCGCTAATTTCGCGACAATTGCTCGACCGACCGAACACGAACGTCGCGCGCGTCGCCCAGTCAATGTGCTCTCGCGTGGATAAGCTTCTTGCCCACGGCCACGGAAAATGACGGAGTGCCCTCTAATCGCGCGAAAAGCCACGTGTCAATGTCGTTCAGACGCGAACGCAATCATTTTGTTGCTGTAACACTGTCGTTAATCATATAATTTTGCTATTAACTCTTTAACGTGCCAATGTACCGAACTTTACGCGTCCATCATTTTAGAAACTATAATTGTCTGAACTGCATAGAGAAGCATTAGAGAAGCTATCGATAGATACAGATGACGAATTATATCGGAAAGAGAGAAAAATAATAAAAATAATCATTATTGTAATTTCTTCAGATTTGCGAGTTGATCTTGTATATACATACCTTTGATTAACTTTGAGTTTTCTCAGAAAGAAAATTTGAGAGCAATATTTCCTAAACTTTTAATTACCTAAAGAATATGTAAGAATAAAATAAGATACAATCATCAGATAAAAATTATACAATTATATGTATATAATCGAGTCAAGCAAATAAAATCAAACTTGTCTGCAGACATTAAAATTATATTCTGCACAATAATCTGAGGCACACCGTGCCTCATCAAAGGACTCTAAATTTAGATTTAATTAAAAGTTTAGGAAAAATTGCTTTCAAAATAATTTTCTCTTTGAAAGGATTCTAAGTATCAAAGCATTATTAAAGCAAGATATTAAATGCCGCAATCTGCGAAGAAATTCTGCTAACACTTTTCTTTTGCTTCTTGATTAATGATTTTAATTAACGCTAAGTTTTACATCAGTGTTGTGCTTTTCGATATCGTATCATCTTCAATAATAAGTTTCTTCCCCAACAACATATGATCCACACTTTACTGCATTGCGGTAGGCAGGCACAACTATGCTGAACCTTACGGCTTGACTTCGCGTCTCGATTTCACAAGTTATGTCGCGACCTTCCGTCGTAACCTTGGTACTCACCTGTCAAGTACCTTGCTCCAACACACGTGCCTTACGGTAACGCGCTCCATTTCCCTACGCCTGGGAGAACGGTGGCGACCTTCGCATTTATCTTTTACGGAGGCGGTATTATATATTATGCCGATCCGCCGGAATGAGAGCGAGCGATTGACAATGCGATTTCGCAAATCTATACAAGTTTGCAGTGTATATGCAAATATTTCCTCTTTTACACGCAAATCCATGTTGCGCCTTTCTCGATTCCGAAGTAATGTTTATATTATGAAGTTCTGCGCACTATATCTGTATATACTTGCTTAATATGTACATATCTGAGCATACTAAGCAAGAATATATAAATTGTATCGTATTTCAATGTACCGTGGTTATTTGCGCTAAAAAAAAGATATTTACTGAATCAATCTAGCGAAAAGGTCATAAATGAAAGAATAAAACGTTGACATTAATGCGATCGGACTGTAAAATCGATGGCAGCACAATATTCTGATGTAAAGAACGAGATTGCAAGTTAAACTTAGCTTCTTTGAATAAAAGCTGCGCTTCGGAAAAAAAGGAACCGGAGAAAGGAGGAGAAAGCACACGGACATCGGCATTGTCTACGTGGATTGCATTGTCTACGTTGGTTACGGATAAACGGAGAGTACACAAAGTCTATACTTAGACTATTGCTATCTACGCGTAGACGCCCACTGATATTCTCCTTTCATTTCGCGGGGCGTACGCACGCCGCGCCGCCGCCACCGCCGCCACGTTAATTATCGGTACAACATTCAATCCGCGGGCGAGCCGTGGCAATGAGTCACTTTAAAGTAGAGGGAATTAGACAAGTTGGCACAGCCGTTAGAAAGTGGCCGCGTGCTAGCTGGTGCCGCTCTAAAAGTATTGTTATATATTTGTTGATCGGTCAGGTTGCCGGATATAAAGCAGCGTAACGTCAGCGCTACGTCTGAATCATCAAAGATTTCAATCAAATGAAACGTATTCGAGCAAAGCTACAGAGTGCCTCCGCAGTATCGCGTTTCTATCTACTCACGGACCTAATAGTCCTCGACTAATTTAAATCTTGACAAAACAGACGCAATTTAATCTTTAGATTATTATGTCTGTATTTAAAGAAAATTTTATGAAAGATTTACACGAGTGTATTTAATGTAAAAAAAGAATAAAGCTTATTTAATAACATAGGAATGTAAGTAAAAAGCTGAATTTTATCTTTTGTTTTCACGTAATCTTCGTTCAAAAAGGTTTCATCCAAAATGTAAACTTGGACTGGTATTCATTATAGTCCGATCTTTAAAATAAGATTCTTAAATACGATCTCGAGAAGCTTTTACGGTCATTTTATAGGTTGGATGGAATCTTAAAACTGCTCATGACCAGATATAAAATGATGCTTTTGAATAAATCGGACTATTAATACCGCCCTTAGAGGGAACTTGTTCTAATTAATATCTAACTTTCGCATGTACGTGAAATTCAAAGTTTATGTCATAGAGTTTATTAAAATTTCATCCGATATTTCTGATGAAATTTAATATCCTATATATATTATAACGGATTTATAGTCTACGTTCATGTTCCTCCTGTAAAAGAGCAGCAAGTTGAAACGATATAGAGAAAGCGAGCGTTCTGGATGTCTATCAATATCCTGTCCGATCTCAAAGAAATAAAAACTTAAAAATGATCTCTACCTCGTTATCAAATATATTGCGATGAAAAATATACTAAGATGTACACGGATACGATCTATAATAAGACCAGCAATTAATCTGTTATTTAACTTCGAAAAAGAAAGAAGACATCTGATCCCAGGGTCACAATATGGTATACGTTACATTCTATTATCACATCCTACATATGTGCACATTCGCACACTATTTGTGACGTAAGCGATAACGATGTTTATGGGATGATCAATTAATACTCGTAAACATTTGGCTATACCTTTTAATACGATACTCTTTCGCTTATATCTTATCTTCTAACTTATAAAAATTAATCTATCAAATAACACCTCAAGAACAGAACTCAACAAATTGGAAAATATTTTCCACGATCATGTATTCTTGAGCAACCTGAGAAAGAAAACTCCTAAAGATATAACCGATTGCTCAACAATCACAGCGAACGTTCGTAGTTAACGAGCAACGTTATATAACAAATCATAAATAAGACGGAAAAAGTAGTAAAGTCCACGCGCGAGTCTGTAATCGCTAAAACGTGCTAATCCGTAGTGCCGCGGGAATATTGCAGAACGTAGGTAATCGCAATGCTTCTCGCGGTGAGAGCGTGGCGAGAGCAAAATAGCAGTGGGAAAAAGAGATGTGAACTTACCCATCGCCGTCGAGAGTGATAGCGGTGTCGGCCAAAACTCGGAGCACGAGACCGACGGTCGCCCTGGCGTGACAATCGATACCGAGGAGGCAACTTTCCTCGGCGTCCTGCCTTCCCGTGCAGGAAACTACGACGAGATATCGCGTCCTTCCTGGATGCACCGACTCCAGTTTCACGGCCTGAAAGAAAGACATGAGGAAATCTCCGATTACTCAGAGTACAACGTTAAAGTATACCGCTCGCAAATGGATATTTAAACACCGCTTACAAACAAGGAGACATTTAGAAGAGACGAACGAGGAGAAACTCAAGTTGCTCGTCGACCAAATAAGTTATCTTAAATGCGCTATTAAAATGTAATATAAATGTGGCAAATATTTCTTCGAAATTCTATGAATTAATATTAGAACAAAAAGAATGTTATTTTTCTTTTATTTCAATTTATTTAAATGCTCCTCGTAACAAAAAAGTTGTTTTTAAATTATATTTTTGCGATCAAATTTTTATCGTATCTAAACATGTTATTTGTGAAGAGGATATTTCGGTATAAAAAAATTATATATTAAATAATTTCGAAATGTTAAAAAATCAGAATACAAAGTATTGATCTTCTCAATAAAAATAATTTTTATGACTCGAAAAATATAGAAGAAAGAAATTATGTATTTCTCGGTCGTAATATCATTTATTGAATCCTTGTATAATGCTACGAACTATCTTCCAGGGTTAACGACATTATAGGGAAGTAGTGTTACACAAGCAGCTCATTGGTTTCATTTCCGTTCGACCGGCTGCTTCCTGTTTACATCGATATCCGATAGGATAATAATTAAATGCTGCTTGTGCCTTGCAATTTTCCACAAAAATAATGTATATACGCTAATTATAATATTAAAACACGTGTGGCAATGTCAGAATATTCATTATCTTGATATTTTATATACTCATTAACAAAAAAAGTTAAGCACCTAGAAAGAGGCGTTAAAATGAAAACTAAACGTGTGCAATGGTAATGGGCATGCACGAAACTGATTACAATATCACTGCAAATGGAATTGGGAGTAACCCTTTGTATGGTAGATAGAATAATTGTCGGTTGTCTTCGTGTTTCTTTCACATCCTCTCTCGAGGTTGCTTGTTGTGTCTTCCAGACTCTTTTCGACGTGTGTGGGTCTTCTCACGTATCCATTGGTTCCAACACCCACAGTCACATCTGTACGTCTCAGGTGCCTGGCAATTGCACGTTTAACGACCACCCTGCTTCGCACGATGTAGCCCCTTTCGAACTCCGACGATTGTCCGTAGTGATGTGGAATGCGTTTTCGAGGCATGTTATATATTAGCCTAGCTCTCTCTCTCTCTCTCTCTCTCTCTCTCTCTCTCTCTCTCTCTCTCTC